CATTTTGTAGACTAAAATTTTGGCTTGTTGAAGGCAACGTCTGAGTCCTCTTTACTCAAAAAAAAAAAAAAAAAAAAAAATTGAAATGATTGTCAACTGAAAGGGGGAGAAAAAAAAAAGAATCCACACTGGTTTGACTTCCATGGCCCTCCCACCCCATTCCCAATGATCAACCCTGGTCTCGTTCCCATACAAAAAGACAATAAAAAAAAAAAATCATAGCAGCCCCAGTTATTGAGGAGCTGAGGCTCCAGAGACTAGTATACTCCAGATGAGGAGGAACAGAGAGAGAAAGACAGAAAGAAACAGGGAGAGAGAAGAGAGGATGATCCATCAGTCTTTCCTGGGTCAGCTCAGACACTCATGTCTCACTGGATTTATTTGTGCTCCTTCGTTGGGGCAAAGTACAACTCCATGGGCTTGTTGACTTTCCAGTACTTCTCGCTCACCAGCTCCAGAGAGAAAGAGCCATTCAAGACCTGTGACGGAAAATGGACCCGGTCATATTGAAGAAAAGCATTTTTGACAGTTTATAAGAATAGGAGTTTGTTTGTGATGTCACAACTTTAGTTTTCCTTCTTTTGACAAGTGATCCAAGTATTTATGGCTTGAAAGCAATGCAAAATTGACGAGCTTGATGAACGTGTGACCAAAGACTATAGAAATACAATGACGGTTCACTCATATACTTATGAATGGGAGAAACCGCAAAGCGCATTATGGCAGAATAGTCCCGCTTTCTAAATGAAAGAGCCAATCGCTGATTGGTAAAGTCATTGCATCACTGCAGCGGCCGTTAAAAGCTCCAGTTCCTATAGAAACCTGAGGCTAGACCAGCCAATGTGCATGCGCACAGTCATAAGCGTGTTCTAACTGCGCATGTGCATTGGCCTGTCTAGCCTGAAAAATATGCTTTTTTAACGCTATTTGAGCATAAGAAACAACATTCATGGGGCAGTTCATTTCACAGTTTGTTGCTAATTTGAAATATGTAATTTAATTGTGACTTCAGCAAGCAGATTTCAGGATTCCCCCATTCATTTAGATAGGACTTGGTCTTGTTTGAGCTGCCTGGGGGTGTTGCAAATATGGCCACCGAGTGAACAGACTTTCCTTGAAAGGGAATTTGATGTGACATCTAAGTAGAAGTATGAGATGTTAAATATTTATCATATCGCAATCCTAGTCCAAATGATAGAATATGATTGTTTGACCATATTGTGCAGCCCTAGATGAAGTGGTACCAAACTTACTGTGAACTGGTTGTTTGCTGTAGGGATGTAGATGGTGTACTGTTTTTCGCTGGCTGCCTCTACGTTGATGGGGCTTGCCTCTCCGTTCTTGCGCAGTTCCTCCAAAGCCAATCTGACAGCCAAGTATTTGGAGAGGTGGTCCACTGTGGCGTTCCCCGAAGTCTTAATGTACCTGATAACAAATTCACCACATTTAAATTTAGACTAAATAAAAAAAATTAAACTCGTTTAAAGCATATAGCTAAAATTATGATAAATTAGTTAAGCAAAACAAATGAAAACAGAACTGGCTCACCTTGTCTGTGCGGCGTCTTCTTTCTCCATCAGCGTCGGGTGAGGGCGGAACACCAGCTCAATCTCGCTGGCCCCGTCCAGTGCCATGTCTCCTCCTCCGTTCTCTGTGGCATTGTCCATGTCCAGTCCCGAATCGTCTGAGGTTTTGGTTCGTTTGATGCTGGGTCCGGCCTCTTGGTTACTGTGCACTGATGCATTGCTGCAATGTGAACTGTCCCCATTGTCCTCTGCCCCGCTGCCATTTTCAATTTGGTGCTTCTTCCCCCGCTGCAGTCTACAGCACCCCCGGTGGTAGAACGGTGGGAACAAAGTAACAAAAAAAACAAAACAGCAAAATTAAAATTCTGGCCACAAAAAGTGACAAAAATGAAAAAAGAAAGATATCTTCCAATAGAGTAAAAATGTAATATCCTGTCAAGTTGCAACTAATTTGAGCACATGACAGCCATAGATAAGAGATAACACTATAAACATAACAACTAAAATTAAAATTCACAAACATAAATGTGAAAAAAAAAATTCCCACATGGATTAATATCAGACATCTAACCTGTTCATGGCCTGGATTTTTAGGCCCTCCTCAATACTGTGACTCAACACCTGTGGGTTGTTGTGCTTGCTGATGCGGGCCAACACTCTCTCCTGATGGGCTTCGTACTCGTCTCTGCTGGGATAGATCTTACTGATCAGGGCGTCAAAGTTAGGGTCTGGACGGAGGGAGCGCTTAGACACCAGCTTCTTCCTGCATGTTGGACACTCCTTATTCCTGTGAAGCAGAGAAGTTTAAAATTGGCATGGAACTGAAATTAAACTTCTCAAATTAGGGTGGAAAAAAAGATTAGGATAAAGATTTAATTTAATTAAAAATGTACATTTTTTGCCTTTATTATTATAGGACAGTATAGAGATGACAGGAAGCGAAGTGGGAGAGAGTGGGTGGAGTATGAGAAGTCTGCCACTTTTTTTCTGACCAACTGAGGAAAAAATCATTACAATAAATCACGCTACCATGGGTGATTAAATCTAACGATCGGTTAGCTCATATCACATCAAATCGGGCAAATTATTATTATCGTCATACTTTGTTCTCAAATTGTTAATGTTAACAACATCAGCATTGCATGACTACATGTATGTAGTGTGTATTAGTGTTACATGAAGATTTCAATTTCTGTACCATCTTAATTGTCATACCATTCGAATTTCATATAAAGAAATTTGTTTAACCCAAAAAGCGAATTATTCTTCCTTAGAACTGGTTCTCTTTAAAATGCAAAACTTGTGTAATCCCACGTAGACTATCTGCAATCAGATGCACATTTAAAACTGGAATATAATCTAATTTCAGTCACTTACATGCGTTTCATAAACCTAGTCCTTTCTGGATTACAAGCCGCCATCAAAATGACAAGTTTAATTATTCCAACTGCTGTGAGAAAAGGCTATAAACAATCCGCCACCTGCAGTATCTTCACATGTGATGTAGCCTTATAGCCGGGACAACTTGTTTATGTTTACAGACGTGACGTAATGATGCGGCGGCATGCTCGAATTTCCCGCAAATTCCTACCAGTACCGCTCAAATTAGAAAACATTATTCAGGCTAACGTAAGACGACAGTTTCTAACGCTGGCTGGTTATGTACTTGCTAAAAAAATATATTTTGGATAATTTTTAACAAAAAAAAAGTGTTACGGACTGCAGCTTTAATACAACACATGGAAAACACTCACATAAAACGATCCAGTGATACGATCATGTATTTTTCACGTCTCAAAGAAAATATACAGTATATTATAAATCTGAATACATAAACCCTACATATAACACAAACCCACCCCGATCTGAGCGCAGTGATGATGCAGTCGGCACAGAAGCGGTGCAGGCACTCCTTGGTAGTCATGGTGTTCTTCAGCATGTCCAGGCAGATGGGACACATCAGCTCACTGTGCAAGCTGCGCGGGGACACAGCGATCTCCAGACCATCCGTGATAGCCTCCTAGAGGAGCACAACACCAGAGAAGCTTCATTGAGGATCTAAAACTAAACTACATATCCCAAAACCATCTCTTGACAGGGTTTCACTAAGATACAGTCATTCTGACACTTGGGAAAAACCTGAACGTACCAACTGTGCACAATAACTGGTGAATGAATTTTCTTACCTGTGGATTTCTCTGTAATTCATAGAGACTAAGCTCCCAGGTCTTACTGAGGGGTTGAACCCCATTCGTCTGGATCATTTGTGTCATCTTTATACACTGTGTGTCCTTCACCTCTGAGGAAAAACAGCCAAAGAAAAATATTGACATGATGTACAGGAACTAATATCAGAATCTTCTAAGAGCTACAGGTTTCGGTGAGATACTAAATCAAAACAAAACAATACTTGCGTTTGAAATCAAAAGTCATACATGATTTAATATTTTGTATTTTTTACACAAAACTTAATTTTCAAATATCATTGATTAGGACAAGGACAACACAGTCAGGTTCAATATGATCATCTCTGACAACTGACATCTGAGGAATGTTATGGTCTGTTGACGCTGGTTTAAACTGAAAGATGCCACTTTATTTAGTCCACTAAACTCTATCCCCGTTTAAATAATCATCCGCGCAGCAGTTTTAGTTAATTTTTTTAAAGATCAATATGATATAATAAGCGATTTATCCGTCTAACCCTGCAGTCACAGAGCTAGCAGGCTAAAATTAGCTCCAAAAGGCACTTCTAACTCTTTGTGTCAATGAACACAGAAAGCATCTGCCTACACGTACCAAGTGTCTATTGCATGACTATGCCTGCTCTCCAGCAACCGACAGATATTAAAAACCTCAAAACAAAATAAACGGGAGAGAAAAAAATAAGACGGAAAGGTTTTATCTCCTACGCTGTCATGAAAACGTAGAGCTAACTGCTAACTCTTTCTGCTAATCCAGATGGTGTATTTACAGGCTCCATTAAATCAATTATAACGACATTGTCGACAACATTGTGACATAATATACCTTTTGCGCTAATGAATACATCAACATCGACAACCGGAAAGCACATATTTCCGCAAAAACGCAGCTGTTTACATACTTACATCTCAATGTTATGAACACTCTCTCCCTGCCAGCGCGTTCTGCTGCGCTGAATATGGCGGATTCAATGGGCCTAAATGAACTCTGGGAAATGTGGTTTTCCGTTTTAACAAGCGAGTCAGTTGTAAACTTAACACTTATGTGTGCAAAATGACATGTAGCGCACAGTTCCTTTTCCTTTATAAATTTAATTGCAATTTAATTGTTACAAGTTAATATATGTATGATAATATTTTTAAAAAGTGGAAAAACATAGCCTTAGTAATATTAAGTAATTCTTAGTAATTCTATGCTAGCACTTCTGATGGACTAGCGACCTGTTTGATGTTTAACGTGATCATCCCGGAAGAAAGTTTTGATAAATAATCATTTTGACATACAATGTAAAAGTGGGTTGTTGTGCTTGCTGATGCGGGCCAACACTCTCTCCTGATGGGCTTCGTACTCGTCTCTGCTGGGATAGATCTTACTGATCAGGGCGTCAAAGTTAGGGTCTGGACGGAGGGAGCGCTTAGACACCAGCTTCTTCCTGCATGTTGGACACTCCTTATTCCTGTGAAGCAGAGAAGTTTAAAATTGGCATGGAACTGAAATTAAACTTCTCAAATTAGGGTGGAAAAAAAGATTAGGATAAAGATTTAATTTAATTAAAAATGTACATTTTTTGCCTTTATTATTATAGGACAGTATAGAGATGACAGGAAGCGAAGTGGGAGAGAGTGGGTGGAGTATGAGAAGTCTGCCACTTTTTTTCTGACCAACTGAGGAAAAAATCATTACAATAAATCACGCTACCATGGGTGATTAAATCTAACGATCGGTTAGCTCATATCACATCAAATCGGGCAAATTATTATTATCGTCATACTTTGTTCTCAAATTGTTAATGTTAACAACATCAGCATTGCATGACTACATGTATGTAGTGTGTATTAGTGTTACATGAAGATTTCAATTTCTGTACCATCTTAATTGTCATACCATTCGAATTTCATATAAAGAAATTTGTTTAACCCAAAAAGCGAATTATTCTTCCTTAGAACTGGTTCTCTTTAAAATGCAAAACTTGTGTAATCCCACGTAGACTATCTGCAATCAGATGCACATTTAAAACTGGAATATAATCTAATTTCAGTCACTTACATGCGTTTCATAAACCTAGTCCTTTCTGGATTACAAGCCGCCATCAAAATGACAAGTTTAATTATTCCAACTGCTGTGAGAAAAGGCTATAAACAATCCGCCACCTGCAGTATCTTCACATGTGATGTAGCCTAATAGCCGGGACAACTTGTTTATGTTTACAGACGTGACGTAATGATGCGGCGGCATGCTCGAATTTCCCGCAAATTCCTACCAATACCGCTCAAATTAGAAAACATTATTCAGGCTAACGTAAGACGACAGTTTCTAACGCTGGCTGGTTATGTACTTGCTAAAAAAAAATATTTTGGATAATTTTTAACAAAAAAAAAGTGTTACGGACTGCAGCTTTAATACAACACATGGAAAACACTCACATAAAACGATCCAGTGATACGATCATGTATTTTTCACGTCTCAAAGAAAATATACAGTATATTATAAATCTGAATACATAAACCCTACATATAACACAAACCCACCCCGATCTGAGCGCAGTGATGATGCAGTCGGCACAGAAGCGGTGCAGGCACTCCTTGGTAGTCATGGTGTTCTTCAGCATGTCCAGGCAGATGGGACACATCAGCTCACTGTGCAAGCTGCGCGGGGACACAGCGATCTCCAGACCATCCGTGATAGCCTCCTAGAGGAGCACAACACCAGAGAAGCTTCATTGAGGATCTAAAACTAAACTACATATCCCAAAACCATCTCTTGACAGGGTTTCACTAAGATACAGTCATTCTGACACTTGGGAAAAACCTGAACGTACCAACTGTGCACAATAACTGGTGAATGAATTTTCTTACCTGTGGATTTCTCTGTAATTCATAGAGACTAAGCTCCCAGGTCTTACTGAGGGGTTGAACCCCATTCGTCTGGATCATTTGTGTCATCTTTATACACTGTGTGTCCTTCACCTCTGAGGAAAAACAGCCAAAGAAAAATATTGACATGATGTGCAGGAACTAATATCAGAATCTTCTAAGAGCTACAGGTTTCGGTGAGATACTAAATCAAAACAAAACAATACTTGCGTTTGAAATCAAAAGTAATACTTGATTTAATATTTTGTATTTTTTACACAAAACTTAATTTTCAAATATCATTGATTAGGACAAGGACAACAGAGTCAGGTTCAATATGATCATCTCTGACAACTGACATCTGAGGAATGTTATGGTCTGTTGACGCTGGTTTAAACTGAAAGATGCCACTTTATTTAGTCCACTAAACTCTATCCCCGTTTAAATAATCATCCGCGCAGCAGTTTTAGTTAATTTTTTTAAAGATCAATATGATATAATAAGCGATTTATCCGTCTAACCCTGCAGTCACAGAGCTAGCAGGCTAAAATTAGCTCCAAAAGGCACTTCTAACTCTTTGTGTCAATGAACACAGAAAGCATCTGCCTACACGTACCAAGTGTCTATTGCATGACTATGCCTGCTCTCCAGCAACCGACAGATATTAAAAACCTCAAAACAAAATAAACGGGAGAGAAAAAAATAAGACGGAAAGGTTTTATCTCCTACGCTGTCATGAAAACGTAGAGCTAACTGCTAACTCTTTCTGCTAATCCAGATGGTGTATTTACAGGCTCCATTAAATCAATTATAACGACATTGTCGACAACATTGTGACATAATATACCTTTTGCGCTAATGAATACATCAACATCGACAACCGGAAAGCACATATTTCCGCAAAAACGCAGCTGTTTACATACTTACATCTCAATGTTATGAACACTCTCTCCCTGCCAGCGCGTTCTGCTGCGCTCAATATGGCGGATTTATATATATATATATATATATATATATATACTAGATGCTAATTTAAAATTATGAGATATTAAGTCACAATTAAAATAATTAAAAGTCATATGATGTATGGCATAAAAAATAGGGCCTAATTACCAGTCAAATAAACATTATTCTAAACATTATTCAAATACAAACATTTAAGGCATATTTGAACAATCACAAATCTTTTTCGTGTTGATACAGCATTTAAAGAAAAACAGAACAAGACAAAGAAGGGAAAAAAAGGGTGAGGGTCTTAATCTAATAACATAGGCTACACAAGTCCAAAGCAGAAAGAAGTTTCAGGGCATTTCTGTCCATCATCCACTGAAGGGATTTTGCAAATAACTTCAAATCATTCTTCCATCCAGTGAAATGGGGTTTAACTTTTAAATATTTACATCTGTGGATAAAGTGTTTGCCAAACACAATCAGGTTATTTATCAAAAATTCAATTTTTTTTATCATTTATAAACACACAACTTTAATTGAGGTCGCATTCAAAGGATGCAGCGATATATCTTTTGATTGTATCCAACTTTGAAATGAAAATTCATGTACAAATTCACACTGAAAGAAAATGTTCTACCGTTTCAATGTCTTTCTCGCAAAATCCACATGAATTGTTTTCCCAATTAAATCTCTCATGTAAAAAGCAATTGAATGGATAAATGTCGTTTAAGATTTTAAATGTCACTTCTTTGGCCTTGGGAAGAATTGGGTATGATAAATATCACTTCCTTATTTTTTTTCTCGCCTCATCCTCACTGAAGTCTTGCAGAACATATTTTCTTTTCAGTCGATTAGGATAATACTGTTTAGATAACACATTTCTAATAAACGGTTTGCTATTTAAATTAATACCTTCACTACAAAGTGATCTCATTTCTGATTGAGAGTTAGAGTACACATTACAATTTCTCTGTAATTCATAGAGACTAAGCTCCCAGGTCTTACTGAGGGGTTGAACCCCATTCGTCTGGATCATTTGTGTCATCTTTATACACTGTGTGTCCTTCACCTCTGAGGAAAAACAGCCAAAGAAAAATATTGACATGATGTGCAGGAACTAATATCAGAATCTTCTAAGAGCTACAGGTTTCGGTGAGATACTAAATCAAAACAAAACAATACTTGCGTTTGAAATCAAAAGTAATACTTGATTTAATATTTTGTATTTTTTACACAAAACTTAATTTTCAAATATCATTGATTAGGACAAGGACAACAGAGTCAGGTTCAATATGATCATCTCTGACAACTGACATCTGAGGAATGTTATGGTCTGTTGACGCTGGTTTAAACTGAAAGATGCCACTTTATTTAGTCCACTAAACTCTATCCCCGTTTAAATAATCATCCGCGCAGCAGTTTTAGTTAATTTATTTAAAGATCAATATGATATAATAAGCGATTTATCCGTCTAACCCTGCAGTCACAGAGCTAGCAGGCTAAAATTAGCTCCAAAAGGCACTTCTAACTCTTTGTGTCAATGAACACAGAAAGCATCTGCCTACACGTACCTTCATTTATAAACACACAACTTTAATTGAGGTCGCATTCAAAGGATGCAGCGATATATCTTTTGATTGTATCCAACTTTGAAATGAAAGCCAAAATTCAAGTACAAATTCACACTGAAAGAAAATGTTCTACCGTTTCAATGTCTTTCTCGCAAAATCCACATGAATTGTTTTCCCAATTAAATCTCTCATGTAAAAAGCAATTGAATGGATAAATGTCGTTTAAGATTTTAAATGTCACTTCTTTGGCCTTGGGAAGAATTGGGTATGATAAATATCGCTTCCTTATTTTTTTTCTCGCCTCATCCTCACTGAAGTCTTGCAGAACATATTTTCTTTTCAGTCGATTAGGATAATACTGTTTAGATAACACATTTCTAATAAACGGTTTGCTATTTAAATTAATACCTTCAATACAAAGTGGCTATTTAAATTAATACCTTCACTACAAAGTGATCTCATTTCTGATTGAGAGTTAGAGTACACATTACAAACTGTTGAATCATTGTTTTCAAGGGTGTTGGGATGGCTTTTAGCACTTCATTGTATTCTCTAATTGGGCACTTGAAACTTAATTTATCACAGAAGTCATTGTAATATAACAAATTACCAAAATTATCAATCAAATGACTTACTGCCCATATCCCTTTTTCCATCCAAGTACCTAAAAACAATGATTTCCTATTACTCAGAATATATCTGTTGTTCCACAAAGGTGTATTATGTGGTGTAAAGTTGTGTTTAAACATACACTGTAAAAAAAAATCTGTGACCTTTACGGTAAATACCGGCAGCTGTGGTTGCCAGAACTTTACCGTAAAAAATATGGTAGCAACATTTTAGGTTTTACAGACTTGACTTAAATTCACAATAAAATACTGTATTTCATTAACTGATGTAATGTTAATAAACCAAAATATTGAAGTACTAATATCTGTTTTATGTTAATGCACTAATAACCACCAAAAAAAACAAAAACTGGTGGTGCTGAGAAAATCACCTGATGAACCAAAGCTCATCACAAACAGCTTTTCTACAAGCTAAGGAGGACAATACTTATGTATAGAAGGTGCATAGTGTCATTCACACTAACACTAAACCCCATCACGGTGACACACATGATACTGAAATAATGCAATAAACATTAGATGTAAGATTAAACCCTAATGTACACAACTGATAAGAAAAAACTAAGAAGAAACATGTTATTTCAACAAAAAAAACAAACTATGACGTGTCATGCAGGGAATTCTGGGAGTGTCAATTTACGGGTTTTCACTGTAAATTATACAATGACTTTTTTCTTTTTCACTTCCAAAAACCTTTTAGCAGTATTTTACTGCCAAAATTCAAGTACAAATTCACACTGAAAGAAAATGTTCTACCGTTTCAATGTCTTTCTCGCAAAATCCACATGAATTGTTTTCCCAATTAAATCTCTCATGTAAAAAGCAATTGAATGGATAAATGTCGTTTAAGATTTTAAATGTCACTTCTTTGGCCTTGGGAAGAATTGGGTATGATAAATATCACTTCCTTATTTTTTTTCTCGCCTCATCCTCACTGAAGTCTTGCAGAACATATTTTCTTTTCAGTCGATTAGGATAATACTGTTTAGATAACACATTTCTAATAAACGGTTTGCTATTTAAATTAATACCTTCAATACAAAGTGATCTCATTTCTGATTGAGAGTTAGAGTACACATTACAAACTGTTGAATCATTGTTTTCAAGGGTGTTGGGATGACTTTTAGCACTTTATTGTATTCTCTAATTGGGCACTTGAAACTTAATTTATCACAGAAGTCATTGTAATATAACAAATTACCAAAATTATCAATCAAATGACTTACTGCCCATATACCTTTTTCCATCCAAGTACCTAAAAACAATGATTTCCTATTACTCAGAATATATCTGTTGTTCCACAAAGGTGTATTATGTGGTGTAAAGTTGTGTTTAAACATACACTGTAAAAAAAAATCTGTGACCTTTACGGTAAATACCGGCAGCTGTGGTTGCCAGAACTTTACCGTAAAAAATATGGTAGCAACATTTTAGGTTTTACAGACTTGACTTAAATTCACAATAAAATACTGTATTTCATTAACTGATGTAATGTTAATAAACCAAAATATTGAAGTACTAATATCTGTTTTCAAACTGTTGAATCATTGTTTTCAAGGGTGTTGGGATGACTTTTAGCACTTTATTGTATTCTCTAATTGGGCACTTGAAACTTAATTTATCACAGAAGTCATTGTAATATAACAAATTACCAAAATTATCAATCAAATGACTTACTGCCCATATACCTTTTTCCATCCAAGTACCTAAAAACAATGATTTCCTATTACTCAGAATATATCTGTTGTTCCACAAAGGTGTATTATGTGGTGTAAAGTTGTGTTTAAACATACACTGTAAAAAAAAATCTGTGACCTTTACGGTAAATACCGGCAGCTGTGGTTGCCAGAACTTTACCGTAAAAAATATGGTAGCAACATTTTAGGTTTTACAGACTTGACTTAAATTCACAATAAAATACTGTATTTCATTAACTGATGTAATGTTAATAAACCAAAATATTGAAGTACTAATATCTGTTTTATGTTAATGCACTAATAACCACCAAAAAAAACAAAAACTGGTGGTGCTGAGAAAATCACCTGATGAACCAAAGCTCATCACAAACAGCTTTTCTACAAGCTAAGGAGGACAATACTTATGTATAGAAGGTGCACAGTATCATTCACACTAACACTAAACCCCATCACGGTGACACACATGATACTGAAATAATGCAATAAACATTAGATGTAAGATTAAACCCTAATGTACACAACTGATAAGAAAAAACTAAGAAGAAACATGTTATTTCAACAAAAAAAACAAACTATGACGTGTCATGCAGGGAATTCTGGGAGTGTCAATTTACGGGTTTTCACTGTAAATTATACAATGACTTTTTTCTTTTTCACTTCCAAAAACCTTTTAGCAGTATTTTACTGTAAAATTATTTTGAATGTAATTACATTTATTCACCGAATATATTATGGAAACTTACTGTTAACCAATTAAGAGGTTTTTACTGTACAATTTTTACAGTCTTTTACTGTTAAAATCACAATCATTTTTTACAGTGTAGGTTCCAGTACCGAAGAACTTGCTGGTGGAAATCAGATAATTTTACAGGTAATTTGTATAAATCATAGTCACAATGCAATAGAAAATCAATCTTTTGAAAAATTGCATTCGGGATGCTAAACCAAAAAGAATCTTTGTGACAAACAAAGGACTTCAGCCATTTCAGTTTTAATACACCATTCATCACAGAAAAATATGACATTCATGCCACCATCTTCAATAGGCTCTCTTAATCATGTCAGCATTTCTAA